ATAGTCCTGTCAGGAAAATGGTCTGGACTGTTCATCAGGTCATAGGAGAGGGGGGCCCTCACCAGCACTAGCCCTCGCCTAGGCGAGGCCCGACGACAGTCGGGCTCAACCCAAGCCAAGGTGGCCTCGTCAGATCTGACGAGAGGGCACTCATCCTCGTCCTCACCTTGGTGAGGCCAACCCTCCCATACATTGCTTGTGGTTGGTGGCCACCAGCAAAAAGAAAAGGGAAAGAAAAGAAAAGAAAAGAAAAGAAAAGAAAATTTATAAAAAACACAATATAATTAAAATATTATATAAAAATGTCTACGTTAGTGTTGGCTGTCCTACCCGGTCGTGCCACGTAGGATAGCCGGCGTTCACGTTAGTGATGTTCGATCAAAATTGGCTGAATGGACTTAATTAGCAAAATATGGAAATGTTTAGGATTCAATCAGCACAATTGAATGGTTTAGGACCGACTTGGCACACGTGCAATAGATTTATGATTTTTTTTGGCAATTTTCCCCATCGCTATGGCATGCGACGTTATTCTTGTGGGTAGTGAGACAATCTGAAGCAAAGAAAGTCCCGAGTGCATGGCATACTTAAGCACCAAAGCATATGAAGGTAAGTGGGGGCTTGCACGATTGTAATGTTATTGTCCAAAGGTGCTCTAAGTAATTTTCCTTCCATCACTTGGTTTTGGAGCGCACAACTTAAGTCTAATACCTTCAAGTGGTGATATCGCTAAGAATGAGCCTAAGTTTCAGCACGTTGGCATATTTAATTGTACCCATATTCATTCAAAAGCTTAAGCTAATGAGTTATGGGTCAATTATGATACGCTAACTGCTTTACACCGCTCCAATTCTTCGATGTGGGACTTTGTAACAAACCCACACACATCTTAATAATTTCTCCCTCACGTGTATGCTCAGTGTTAGGTCTGCTCCCCTTAATTCAGGTATCTTTTTGCATAATATGTTTCAACTAGAATCTTTACTTTGTTACAACACAACTCACACATGCATCTCAACACAATTTACATGTCACGCGGATATAAAATGTGGCAAGCATGGAGAGATGGGAGGTTAGTAGTTGAGGACAACGTGGAAGTTAAGCCAGAAATAAGGAGAAGTAATTTGAAGTAAAGAAAGTGTACGTAGTGAGCGTGTGTGTGTGAGATCATGGGGTAGAAAAATGGAGAAGTTACTTCCATGGAGATTATAAAGAAATAGCCATGAGAGAAACACACGCATGCGCAAACACTGCTCTCCAGAGTCTATTATATCCTTTCATTGTGTTTTCAGTTCCAAGCACTTTCAATTCTTTGTAATTTCCTTTCAATACATTTAGTTCCATGTATTTCCTTTCTATGTAATTTCAATTCCAATGCAATTTTTTCTTCCATGCACTTAGATTTGAAAGCCCCAATCAAACACTTTGAGCTCAAGTGAGGAACCACGGAATGATCTCTATTTTTTTTTTTTCATCTTCTGAAGTTCAGAACCTCTCTGGACATTCTGATTTTCGTCTACATATATATTGGCACTCTCATAGATCGATGTCCCCCGACAAGATGATTGGTGAGGTAGTACGAGTACAAAAGTTTTAAACAAAGGATGAACATGGTTAACACATGGCTATCACATCTTCTAGAAACCCTTCACTGTCGTTTCCATTTAAAATCAAGCATGCAGACATGAAGATGGTTGTCTGGATGCAATGGATAATCCTAGTCATTTTCGCAATCATGCTTTTGTTCATAGACTTTAACGTGCACTTTGATAATATCCACCAAAAGCCAATGTCTTTTACGTCGCAGCCCTTGTTTTGTCCGTAAGACTAGAGGCTTAACTTACTCGCTTTCGTAAGCCGTGACGAGAACATTATTATGTTCTTGCCCGTCTCCATCTGAACGAATTGCCGATCGAATCTCACTTATGGCACTACTTATTCCAAAAGCAAAAATGTCAAGAACTTGCTTGTCGTGTAACATCATAGCCTCAAACGTTTTGTCTGCTGTCCCCTCAAGAAATTATGGTTGGCAAATTTCAGCAAAGAAATCGATTCCAAGCTTGACTGGTTGGTGAGGCCTCTCTTGATCCTAGAAAGATGTGGACCGGATGAAGTCAAGACAAGATTGTATTCCTCATTGAACGCAATAAGTATTGATCGTGTACTTGACGTTGTCGGGGGATCAGATAATCGTGGACATAACGCTTTTACTTTAGTACTTTAATTTTAGGAGCTTACATAGTAATTAGGAGTGATCGGTTCCAGGTGGATCTGGAACCTATCCTGTTATAACTGGTTTTTAATATTTGGAACTTGGAACCTACTATATTCTTCCGGTTCGGTTTTAGGGTCTACCCGAGAACCTATTTTTCTTTTGTTCCTTTTTTTGATTTCATTTTTTCCAGCAAAATAATATGAATACCAATGAAATGATTCAAAGTAAAAGATGAATAATAATAATAACCATCCGCCAAAGGCAACAATCCCTGTGATGAACAATTGAAATTACTATCCACTAAAAACAACAATCCAAAATATTGTAATAATATATTTTCAACACTAGCTAAAAACCGGTTCCAAATCCGGTCCGCTTCCCGGGTGGGTCTTCACTTGGACCCAGGAACTGGGAACCGGGAACCGGAACCAGTTCCCAAAAAATGGAACCGGTACCCAGACCGGTTCAAACATGAACTGGTTCTTGGACCGGTATTTCGGGTGGTCCAGTCTGATTTATAGGTAAACCCGATCCGATTGCACATCCCTAATACTACCGTACGTCAATCACAATGAACTGGTGTCAAGTCTATCACTCTAATATACTGAGGGTATGAACGAATGAGCTGGTCATTGCCCGACAACGAAGTCCAGCAAAAGCTAACACGATGGTCATCCTAGATTCATGAATGTGATGATTGGCGTGGAGGAGATCGTTCTAAAGATTGGAATGAAGATCTTGATTATTACTACTTTGAAAAGAAACGGAATTCTGTCTCAATATTCCTATAGTTATAATTGCGATGTAAATTTCAATAGTTTCATCTTTTAAGTGGCAGCGTTTGGATTCATGATCTTCTATATAGAGATTCGTGAGCTTAGAAAATTAAAAACGAGTAGTTCATTAAACCTAATGTGACATCTGGCCTAGTGGCTGGGAGGTTGGGGTGAGAACGTTGAAGTCGAGGGATCAGACCTTGGCTGAAGCAAAAAAATAAAAGAAAAAGAAGGGCTTTTATTTTTCCCTCCATCTTGGTCGAAGGGGAGGAAACCACACTTTTTCTTAGTGAGTTATAAGTTATGAACATCATTCACAACATAATTTAATTAAAATTAAAAATGTGTGATGTCCAAATTTGAAATCACTAATCAAAGGCATGATTGTAGGACGTAGGACGAGATTACCTCCAAACAAAGATATAAATTTGAAATCACTAATCAAAGGCAATTAAAATTAAAAATGTGTGATGTCCAAATTTGAAATCACTAATCAAAGGCATGGTTGTAGGACAAGATTACCTCCAAACAGAGATATTGGTTGTAGGACGAGATTACCTCCAAACAGAGATATGGAGGTGTCGACACCCTAAACAAGCCAACTTTCACGTGAAAGAGTTACAATTAAAAATCACTAATCAAAGGTAAGGTTGTAGGACGAGATTACCTGCAAATAGAGATATGGAGATGTCGACACTATAAACAAGTCAACTTTCACGTGAAAGAGTTACAATTAATCAAAATTGATGTCATTGACCGTACATCGACTATGAGTTTAAAATGATATAAACTCCGGTCAATGTTAATGAGAATGTGCTCAAACCATTGAGACAAAGAGGAATCTCTTAAGTCGGGCTGTAACAATAAAGTAGAGCTATTGACTTGACAAAATCAAGGTCTTTCGTGAATATTGACTGATTAATATAATATGTTGGGCTTCAACAAGAATGGGGTAAAAGGTATGTCTACTAGCACATGTGATTTGATATCGATTGTGAATACAATCAAACACCGGCATTGATTGTGAGAAGCCAACCGAGTTAAGTTGACAAGCGAGAACAGTTTTTATATATCAACTTATTGCGGAGTCAATGTTAGTTTTTAAAATGTCAGTTGAGTCGAGAAGCATTAACATTGACTTATCAGGGTTTGGCTTACATCAAAACGAATATATGGATAAAAATAGCAGGAGCAATAATTACAGTCAAATCTGAGGCGGTAACAATGACTAAGGTGTTATCTGACAATTATAGTCAAGCAAATACTGCAGTCGAGCTCCCTAGTCAGGACAGTTATCACCATCAAATATGGAGATGCAATTTGATTTCAATGAGCGGGAAAAATTATTGGGATAGATTAGCCACTCATGGACTATAAAAGGAGCGCATACGTAGAGGGAAAGGCGCACATAAACATTTGAAGAACAAAATTTATTTCTATCAATGCACTTTACTTCCATGCAGTATATTTTCAATCATTTCTCAACAGTCCATTTCCAGTTATTGAAGTTGTTTATTTTACTATTATCAATCGAACATTGCTCTTGTTCTTTTGGAAAGATTTATATTGTCATTAATATTCATTTCTTTGGTTTTACAAAAAATCATCATCAAGTTCTTGCTTCTTTCGCACCGAATAAGTACAAGGATTGTGATGTTTGACCAGGACGTTGATTAGTCAAAGCATAATAATTCTTTTAATTGAGCCGATAGATTCGCCAGGGAATGACTTTCGAGCAAAACAGGAGGAAAATACGACCCTTTTATGAATTTAAATGTGAGCGACGCTAGTTAGAATGTCGAATGACCAATCAAATGTCTTGGCGGAGAGGATTTTCTGATTAGAAATGGAAGAAAAATTCAACTCCTTTGATAATTAATACGTCAACCAATGGGCAAGGATATGATGGGGGGGGGGGGGCAGAGCAGGGCACATGGGTTGAGTTCGCTTGAATTTGAAGATCCCCTGTGCATCTTTCTTGATAAAGAATATTTTGTATGCCCAAATCCATCAAACGGTTCAAATATCACGTGTCAAATGAGCCCCCATCATCAACAATGCCACCGCAAGCAACTACCATTCGTTCCCAGGATTATCTCGGCAAAAGATCTTTCTATATAACAAAGGATCGCCTCAGACCATACGGGACTTATAAACACATTCGTTTTTGTTGAGTCGAGAGAAGAATCTGTCCGAGCAGCAAACAGCTCGACATGCATCCGGCCAAGGACATTCACGTTCTGGTCCTAGCACACCCCGTGCAAGGCCACATAAACCCGATGCTTCAATTCTCCAAACGCTTGGCCTCAAAGGGTCTCAAGGTCACCTTCCTAATCCCCATCTCCACCAAGAAGTCCCTCAATCTGGTTAACGCGAGCTCCATCCAGGTCGAGTACATCTCCGACGGGTTTGACAACGTCGAAGCAGACAAGCTCAGCATTGACGAGTATCTCGACCACTTCCGACTTTCAGCTTCTCAGAGCCTGAGAGATTTCATTCAGAAACACCAATCTTGTCTGGAGAATCCGGCTAAAGTCCTTATTTACGATTCCTTTGACTATTGGGCTCTAAACGTGGCAATACAACATGGCATGCATGGAGCTGCGTTCTTCACTCAGTCCTGCGTCGTTTCTTGGATCTATTACTTGGTTCACCAAGGAACAGTGAAGCTCCCATTAGAAGCTGTAGATGGACAAGGGCGTGTTGTATCTGATCCTCCGGCGATGTCGGTTTTAGGGCTGAACGATTTTCCTTCATTTGTCATAGATGTCGATAAATACCCCGCCATACTCAAGATCGTTCTCGGACAGTTCTCCAATTTCCGGAAAGCTAAGTGGCTTTTGTTCAATACGTTGTCTGAGCTCGAGGAGGAGGTAAGTAACTTCAAATCACCTGGGCAAATTATTTGGGTGGAATGACTTTTGAGGACGCTTTTCTGGATTGCACTTATTAATTAACTAGATAAACTCGAACACTTGGTTTTTAATGTATTATTTTGCTCGTATTATATATAATTTATATTTTGGAATGCACAACCTTTTTAAATACGCTCAATTAGTATCCTAAAGTTACTCATTAATTGTCACGACTATTTTAAAAGGATGTAGTATCCAAAATTTGGGAAAAATAATTGAACTGCAAAGGCGCATGTTATCTGCGTCCTTATGAACTTTCGGTACTACATTACATTAAAAGATGTAGCTTTGTTAATCCGAATTTCATCGTGAACTGTTACTGGAAAATATGAATTTTTTTTGGCTCACGTGCAATTACTACACCCTTGAAATCAAGCTAATTTCTAGAATAAAATATAAATTTGCTTTTAAATTTACGACACGACATTAGCCACAAAAATTGATGACATGAGAGGCAATCTCTTCATGAATGTTGGCACGTACCCATATCCATGATAACGTGTAGCTTTGTTACTTTCAAATAACGTGTATATATTATGCACCCAAGAAAGTTAACATTAAAAACAAAACCTAATTTTTTGCGTGGTTGAAAGTTCTTTTCAGAGGATGCAAGTACTAGAGAATTAAAAGGGTGTACGTGACTGTAAATTAATATGTTCATTGCATCCCAGCTGGTGAATTGGATGGGGAACCACTGGTCAATGATGCCCGTCGGACCAACGATACCTTCAGTATACATGGACAAGAGACTCGAGGACGACACAGACTACGGACTTAGCCTCTTCAAGCCCGAAGCAGAAGCTTGCCTCCGGTGGCTGGACTCGAAGCCACCCAGGTCCGCCGTCTACGTATCGTTCGGAAGCTTGGCATCTCTGGGAGAGGACCAGATGGAAGAGCTCGCGAGTGGGCTCAGGTCGATGAAGAGCCACTTCTTGTGGGTGGTGAGAGAGTCTGAAGAGAAGAAGCTCCCACCCAACTTCATGCAAGAGCTAGAGTTAGGTAATGACAACAAAGGTTTGGTGGTGAGGTGGTGCAATCAGCTCCAAGTGCTGAGCCACGGCTCGGTCGGTTGCTTCATGTCCCACTGCGGATGGAACTCTACCCTCGAGGCGCTGAGCTTGGGGGTCCCCATGGTGGTGATGCCCCAGTGGACGGATCAGCCGACCAACGCCACATTCGTCGTGGAGGTGTGGAAGGTCGGCCTCAGGGTTAGGGCTAATGAGAAAGGGGTTGTGACCGGGGAAGAGATCGAGAGCTGCATAGATGAGATCATGGATGGAGAGAGAGGGAAGAAGATCAGAGAAAACTCCTTGAGGTGGAAAGAAACTGCCAAACGGGCCGTAGATGAAGGAGGTAGTTCGGATAAGAACATCCAGGAATTTGTCTCGAACGTTGTTGATTTGTGCACGTAATGCTCATGCACGTGTAATAATGGTGAAAAACAAGCTCGCCGATTTGATCTAAATGATTGTGTCTTAACTGAATTGTATAATTATTTTCAGAATACATTATGAATTTTGGGTTCTGTTCGTTTGTGAAAAATTGGTTTCCAAATTTTTTTTTTCATAAATTCCAGTGTTTACTGTAGTAAAACAATTCGGGGAAGGAAATCAGACAAAACTCCTTGAGGTGGAAAGAAACGGCCAAACGGGCCGTTGATGAAGGAGGTAGTTCAGATAAGAATATCCAAGAATTTGTCTCGAACGTTCTTGATTTACACACATGATGCATATGCCCGTGTAATAATGGTAAAAACTAATCTCTCTGATTTGATATAGATTGTTGTGTTACAATCCAATTGTAAGATTATTTTCAGAATAACATTACGAATTTAGGATGCCATTATTCTCTGAATGTTCAATTCCAATTGTTAGATATGCTCGTAATACAATTAAAATATCTTTTATATGTCTTTGATTCTCCACATAGATTGTGCATACAACTTCCTTAATCACTACAAAAAAACATGTTTTTTGCGACGGATTTTGCGACGAAAAAATCGCAAAAATCCGTCGCAAATCATTTTTGCGACGAATTTAGCGACGGAAAAAATTCCGTTGCTACTAGGTCGTCGCAAATTTTTGCGACGAAAAAAAAATTCGTCGCAAAAATCGTCGGAAATTAGCCACGAACACTATCCGTCGCAAAGTTCGTCGCAAATATTTCGTCGCAAAATTCGTCGCAAAAATCGTCGCAAATTAGCCACGAACACTATCCGTCGCAAAGTTCGTAGCAAATATTTCGTCGCAAAATTCGTCGCAAAATTTGCGACGGAAAATAAAAATCCGTCGCAAATTTGCGACGAAAATAAAATCCGTCGCAAATTTGCCCCAAAAATAAAATCCGACGCAAATTTGCGACGGAAAAAAAATCCGTCGCAAATTTGCGACGGAAATAAAATCCGTCGCAAATTTGCCCCAAAAATAAAATCCGACGCAAATTTGCGACGGAAAAGAAATCCGTCGCAAATTTGCGACGGAAAATAAAAAGCCGTCGCAAATTTGCGACGGAAAAAAAAAATCCGTCGCAAATTTGCGACGGAAAATAAAATCCGTCGCAAATTTGCGACGGAAAATAAAAATCCGTCGCAAATTTGCGACGGAAAAAAAATCCGTCGCAAATTTGCGACGGAAAATAAAAATCCGTCGCAAATTTACTACGGAAAAAAAATCCGTCACAAAGTTTGTCGCAAATATTTCGTCGCAAAAGTCATAGCAAAATTTGTCACTAATTTTTCCTCACAAATTTTCATCGTAAAATTCATCGCTAATTTTTCGTCGCAAAATTCGTCGCTAATTTTTCGTCACAAAATTTGTTGCTAATTTGCCACGAAATTCTTTTTTTTTTTGTTAATAATTTGCGACAAACTGATTCGTGGCAAAATTTGTCGCTATTTTGCCAAGAACATTGTTCGGGAACGAATTTAGCGACGAATTTTTATTAATTCGTCGCAAATTAGCAACGAATTATAAAAATAGTTACGAATGTGTAGCAAAAATTTATTACCGGTTGGCCTCCTCACAACTGGCACAATGCAAATTGTATCTAATCTACGGCTGAAACCTGGTATATCTACCACAAACTCAGCCTTGCAGAGTTCCTTCTAACCTCTGATATCAAGTACATGAATATTGGCAACAATAGTACATGCTTTAATATAAATTCTCAGTACAGAGCTGAGCTCTCGAGGGAACCCTGAGCTTCATATCCTCGGCGGCCCACCACACCCTCCTCGAGATCTCCCGCCACCCCTTGTACACCCGCACCACCGCGAGCAGCTCCGCCGGCGGCAACCTCCTCAGGACCTCCCACAAGCACCTGGCGGGCAACCCGCCGGCGTCCGCATCCCCGTCCACGAAATCCCGATCCCGCTCGTCGAGATCCGGCTCCACCTCGTCGAAGTCCTCCTCCTCCTCGTCGGTGCGGACGTCGAGGTTGTCGAAGGAGAGCACGCAGCGACGGATGTAACCTTTTGCAAAGGGAAAAGTTTGCGACGGAAACCTATTAATCGGTTTTATAGAGTGACTATCTAAAAGGGAAAATATCAATTACAATCAATTAAAGGAAATATAGGGAATCTTCTAAATATTTCTCTAATAGAATGCATGCCCTCTATTCACTTATCATTCGGATGTAACCCTTTAGGAGTAATTCATCTAATTGGTTAGATCAAATTGGTTAGGTCTAAATAAGAATATCTCTTTTATAAGATCTCCTATAGATATCCCTATATAGATACATTGACTTTACATTTCATACATCCACCCGATTTCGATCTATTTGAAAATTGCTATAATTTATTTACCCATATATTTACTCATACATAAGAGCTACGTGCGGAGGAAACCGCCATATTCAACTAAATAGATATCTGCGTTATCTATATCTAAGTCTTGAAAAAAGAAAAGAAAAGATTTGCCCCTATCTAATCTAAAAAAGCTTATTTGGGATGAGAACATTTTAAGAGATTATCTAATATCTTGAGTTTATAATAGATCTTCTTATCTAATTTGAATTTGTAAATCTAATCTCTCTTAGAATTGGACGTGTAGCAAATCGTCCAATCTCTTTTGAATTTGAACTTGTGACAATCATCCAATTCGTTTCTACTTTCGTCGCAAAATGGTAAATTTCATTGCACAAATTAGCGACAGAAAATAAATCCGTCGCAAAATTCGTCGCAAATTTACGACGAAAAATTAGTCGTCCCGAATTTGCGACGGAATTAGCGACGAAAATTTTCCGTCGCAAATTTATGACGAATTTTGCGACGGAAAATAAATCCGTCGCAAAATTCGTCGCAAATTTGCGACGGAAAATTTTCGTCGCTAATTTGCGACGGAATTAGAAATCTGTCGCAAAGTTTGTCGCAAATTAGCGACGAAAAATTTCCGTCGTAAATTTCCGTCGCAAAATTCATGTTTTTTTGTAGTGAATTTTGCATATCCCTAATTGATTAAAATTGATATCTTAATAGCTTGTTACCGGGAAAATTACCAAAAAAGTCATAAACCTTTTGCAATTGTGCCAATTCAGTCATAAACTTTTTTTTTGGTCAATTCAGTCCTAAACCTTTTGCAATTGTGCCAATTCAGTCCATCCGGCCACTTTTGGCCGGCTGGCGCTGACGTGGCCGCCGGCCGGCTGACGTGGAGCCGGCCGGCGTCCACGTGGCAATTTTTAATAAATTTTTTGTTATTTTTCGAATTTTTTTTTTCTCATTCTTTTTTTTTTTTCGCCTATCTTCTTCCCTGGTCGCCGGTCCGGCGACCGGCTGAGGCCGGCGAGGTCTCTTCCTTATGGACTATTCCTTATGGGATAAACAGAAATTACTTAAACGCTCTCTTCTCCATATTCTTATCTTGGTATTATAGTTCTTGTTGTTAGAGGAAGCCCTCTCTAGTCTTTTAACATGATGGTCGTAGCAACGTCAATTGCGCCGATATTCGTTTTCCACCTAGTCTGCCACTCTTGAGTACTATTCTGACACTTTTCATTGCTTGTTTCGAAAAACAAGTATCGCCATTAGACTTGCCGCCCTCAAATGAGTTGAATCATGAAATTCTGTTGCGATAGGCCGCTGAATGCGCCCTTTACGCGCCACTACGCACTGTCACCTTAACAATCCACGAGCGTTCATGCACTTCTCACGGGCCAGAAGTTTTTGCACATGTATCGCTTACGTCATCAACACATAAACATTGACATGAGCAGTCAAGTCGTTACACACATTAGCTGCCACGTCAACAACCACATTAGAGTTAACAATGTACTTGCCACATCATTGGCCACGTCATCGGCCACATCATGTGTGTTTGGAGCACATTGGCAAGAAGCTTGAAGGTTCTGAATAAAAGGAATTTAATGTGTGGTTAAGGGTTTAGAAATTCAATGTATGCAAGTGTTGTAACCTAAGAAAAGAACGAAAAGTGTAGTTCAATAGGATTGTTAAAGAAACCATGTAGATTGTATAATTAATTCATTAGGATGTTTGTAGGCTCTTGCAATTTCCATCAAGGAAGAGTGTTAGATTTATGCTTAGAGTTGTGGATGACTTCTTGAGGAGGATTTGAGTGTTTGTATTGAGGTACAAGTTCAATGTTGTTTTTAGGATTAGACAATTTAGAGCTTTGATCGAAACATAGATCAGTAAGAGGATTGAACATGTGTAGTAGCTTCACAACATGTGTAGTTGCTTGAAGCTGTTATGCAAACTCTACCTGGAGGAGAGTATAGTCAGAGACCAAACTTGTTCTAGTAAACTACAATAGGTTGTAGCGCTGATGAGTGGATGTAGTTAAAGACTGCCCATAAAATGCTCTTTAGTGCTAGTTCTGAGAAGTTGCCGGTGGATATGCTTATTATAGCAAGCTACTTGGTATATAGATCCTTATCAATTGTAATAAGATGTCAGTCTCTTGAAGATGTGTTGTTAAGTAATGTTGATTATTATGTCCTTAGAATATTTTGTTGTTCGTGTTATGTTGGAGGGAATGATGAATTTCGCTGGGAAGGCAAGAAATTGCATGTTTCTATGTTGTGCATAAGGTGAGTGGGGTTATTGGTTATGGTACCTAAAATTAAATTTATCTATTACCAATAGAGAAATTACAATTGATGAATCTTCAATATTTCTGAGTAGGAGTGATTATGGTAGTATTTGTACGGATATGTAGGATGGTGTGTTCCAATTCTATATGCCATAGACTCTTACTAATGTCATACATGTAATTTCCATCATAACTCTGCATGCCATTAACTCCTACTATATATTGAGACAATTTCTTTTGTAGTTGTAACTTCTAATTATGAAAAATGATACTATAGTAAAGAGATTGCCTAGTGTGGCATCGTGATTTTTCCCTTTTTGATTTTTAAAGGTTGTCCCTGTTAAAATTTGTATGTCTTCTTCTTGTTTCACTCCTAACAGAATCCTCTCTCCGGAAGCGATTCCTTTTCGCTAGATTTGATTTTGGACGTCTCC